AGTGTGACTTATAAATTATGCCGTTTGAACTTTGCCGTGCGCTCGGAGTATATGAGACACGAATACGTTTATCTACACGTCGTTCAAGCTGCTCTCGGAGTACGAGCTGACGAAAAGAAAAATTCCTCGCTTCTCTTTCGCCCGAAACATATAAGCTCGGCAACGCATTTGAATTGCCAAATATTCGCTTTATAAAAGTCTACTCGAGGCATCCCTTAAAGAAGCGTATAGCTACTACGTGTGTACACTCGAGACTCGGGCTCGAAAGAGAAACAAACAAAGTTGCTCGCTAGTCGGGCTGCTGCGTTGGGGTATAAATCGGTATTCAGGCCGAAAGCTCGAGTCGCATTGTAAGCGCTTCGCAAGCCTGCCTCGTCACATTGTGCGCTGCTGCTGCGAATGCGGCGTGGCGCGCATTTCTCCTTGGCCAAATAAAGTGCCAAGCTTGTTGTACACCGCGAAACGATCGGGCCATTTTACTATGTATCACGCGCTCTAACTGATGGTTGCGCGTGCGACGGGCCTCGAGAGATGCGCTCGCGATATATACGGCGGAGGAGCTCGAGGCAGAAGAAATATTTTGCCGACTCCGCGAGTAGCGTGGCTTTGCTTTGTCGCGAGCCATATAAATGCGACGCGAAATAGGAAAATACGTTATTAAGTTGTTGCCAGCCTAGTTAAAATAAATGAGCGAGAGCTCGAAGCAATTTGTCGGCGGCGGCGCGTGCACGCGGGCGAGCTACTTATGCTACCGTCGCGCGTATATGCAGATGAAATTTCGTCTAACGAGCTGGAGAATTAAAAAGAGGAAGAGGCAGGAAAAAGGAGGGCTTGCTTAATTGAAAATTTATCATATATTACGCGAGATACGCGCCGCTCTTTCTGCTGCGCGATTTTATCAAAATTAACCTCCGTATGTAATTAATCTCTTGTGCATCGTTCAATTGTACGACGCAACTTTTTAATACATTCGCTGCAACACGCATAATACTCGTGGACAAGCTGATTTGAAATAAATCGATGCACAAAAAAAGAAGAAAAAAAAGTTATGCAAATTATCCGCAAATACGTGTGTGCTGAGAAAACCTATCTCGACGGCGCCAAGTTTAATAAAACACGTAAAGATGTATATTTAAAAAACGGGGAATGGAGAATTGCTTTTTCCAACGATATACTGCCTGAGCTCGTACTCACACTAGACTTGCGCGCGAGACTACGAGAAACTCGATTACGCGAGCTCACGTAGCTGTGGTGTAAGAAGCTTGCCGTATTCCGACGTATATACATGCATACATACATATGTACGCGTTTTCTCACTGATGAAAAGTGTGTATAAGATTCATCATCATCTTTTTCTCGCTTTTGCTTCTCATGCAAATTATGTAATATATGCCGTACGAGTGCAATATATACCAATAAACTTTCTTCATACGTTCATTTTCTCACTCTCTCTCCCTCCCTCTTTCGCGCTCATTCACTCTTTCATGATAAGTCAAGATATTGAAAGCTCGTGTGACTTTATTTTATTTTTTCTTTAAATTGTAACGAGTTTCAAAGAGCACATGATATATACCTACGCTCGTTGAATTGGAATGGATGTTTCGAGGAGAGGGGCGGAAAGGTATGCGGCTGCTTTACGCCTTCGAATGGAAGACGTGCGCACAATATAAGTGCTTGGGAAAGCTGCTTAGAATTTTTCGCGAGTAGCTCCTCCGAGAGCGATCAAGAAAATGCGACACGTGGAATGAAAACCTGCTCAACCCCTGCGTTTATATTTTTCTGGATTTTCCGATGCATAAAAAAAGATAGCGTATAAAAATTCAGCTTGATTTTTCAGGTGCGAAAATGCCTCCGATAATCACTCAATCAAACCGCGTCCATCACCATTATCGGCAAAATTTATACTATATAAGCAATTGAAGCGAATAAAACACAAACGTCAATGTCCAGAGGTTCGAGCTCTTCCTCTCTGAATTTCGGAAGCCCGGGCTATGATTTCGAGGCAAATCCCCCGCGTTTGCATCGGCTCTGAATAATCCACGAAGACAGAAGCTATCAATCTACCCGACCCTGCTGAATGTAGTATTATAGTACGAATCAAGTGATTGGGCCTTTATTATCATATCTTTATAGATTAACACGTAAGCATTATGAAAGAAAACCTCATATTTTATACTTGCAAAAAAATACAAGAAAAAATTAAAATATGAGGGAATAGGTTTAAAAACTCTGATCGGATTAATAGATTTTATTATTACTGGTCTGGTTGTTGAAGATAATTTCATATCCGAAATTTTTTTACTAATAAAAAGTGTGTGTTCCGAATTCCTTTCAATGAACACTTCATTTGTTATATCTTTCCAGGTAAAAATTAAGCTTTATTTTACGCTTCGTCAGTGCAAAGTAAAAAAAACAAACAAGTAATTATCCAAATGAACGCGGTTACTTTTAAAAGAAAGACTTTCTTCTATGTGATTCGTGAAGTCGCAGAAATATTGTAGGTGTGTGCGTAAGTTACGCAAGGTGTAATAAATAGAAACCCTCTCATTTTTTGTAAACACGTGATTGGTTCATAAATAACGCATACAACTTTTAATAAATTTTTAATTGATAATTCTACAGTTGTTACGACATTTGAACCTCGAAACAAATTTGTCTTAAGTTTTTTTTTTAAATTATACAATTAATGCGATTTGAGCTCACGAACTGTAAAGTAAAAAAGTTTACTTTGAACTTGTTACAAAGCTTAGAAAGGAACTTTGAGTAAAATTTTTTCGTCGTTGAAATTCAATTTGAAAAATAACTAGTGGTAGCTCGTATTATCATACGATAGTGTGAGCAATGTAGAAAAAAATATATTACTCATGGTTGCGGTATTAAAAAACCCTTCGCTTATTGGAAAAACTCATAGACGCCGTGATTTCAACCTTCCATGCTTGTATCACTTTTTAAGAGTTTCTCATAGTTGAATGATAATCTGCACAATTTTTAAAATTAATATAAAAAGAGCAACGCCGTATTTTTCTGTCGAACAAATATGACTGAATAGCATGACGCATGTATAAAAAAAGATAAAACAGGCGACCCTCTTCCAAAACTTTTTTTCACTGGGAAAATTCGAGAAATTCATAGTTCGAAGCTAACATGCGAAATTCGAATCTTTTTCCTGTCTATTCTCTTCTGCGTGACTTTTACAAAGAATTGCTGATTCTTGAAAACGATTTGCATGACGAAACAAAAAACTACGTTGCTATCATAATACGCGTGAAATGACAAAAGAAATTTTTTAAGCTACCATCACCGCAGCTGAAAACGAGCGTTAATTTGGAGTTGTCAAACATAAATTCATAGTACGCGAACGCAAAAAAAAAGTTTTACGCCCCGTACACGAAACAAGTACACCGACGCACGAAACGTTCAAACATCACACGTGGGAATCGAGTTTCAATCAGATCATTTTTGGTGTTCGACGACCTATATTATTCAATTTTATCGAATCACACGTTTTTTCTGAGTACAGGTTTCGAGCGGAAAAAAGATATCGCTTTCGTGAATTCGTCGGGCAATGCGAGCGATGCGTTTTCAACGACTTCTGTGCGATGAACGTGGTCTGTAATAGTTGACTTCAAAGCAACAAAATAAATACACTTCTGTTCTCGTCTATTATTATGTCTCTGAAGCTACTTACTCACAAATGTAACAAAATTTCAAATTTATTCGCGATAATCTTGGCTAATGAATTTGTTTGACTCGTGTCATTCGACGCAGTTTATGTTATCTAGGTGATAAGTAGCAGTTGCCACAGAAAACGGATTTCCTCGTCGTTTCTTCTTTTTTTAAACTTCAACCGCCAATCGGGAAATTTCGACAATTTCTTGAAAAACTCAATACAACAGAACACCCGAAGAAAAAGCTTCACGTACACTCCTTTTTCTGTCTCTCTCTCTATCTTTCTCTCAGCTCGTGGATCTGTTATTCAACAAATACAACAATATACTCGCTCGCACACACTCGTTGGGAGAAAAAAAGGTGAAGACTCTTTCAGCTTCTCTTTCGCTATTCACTAGCGCTCAACTATTATGCATGAAAAAAGCATTCAAACATACGTATTCGAGCTCTCAAGATGCGCCTCGTGTATGCGAACGAGCTGCCTGACTGTGCATATGCTCTTTTCTTTCTCTTTCATATCTCCAACGACACGCACACACACACACACACACACACACACACACATACAAACACGGCCAGGACAAAAACGCCTCATTCATTTATTCTATGAGAAAGTTTCATTTTCAGGACGATGTATAGATAGAGAGCGAGAAAGGGTGAGAAAGAAGGAGCGAGAAAAGAAGGCGCCTCGTTCGCGATCTTGTTGCGGCCGGCCTCGAAACGTTTGATCATCCCCTAGCGTGCAGCCATGTCCGGGATGAAGGGGCGAGACAGCTGTTTGACCTACTTCGCACACAGCCGCCTGGCCAATGGTGATACTCACACTTATACACACGCACGCATTGCGTATTTATATGCAAGAGCTGAGGCCCAGGAGGAGCAATGCTGCAAACTTATCCTTATCGATGCACATCTCTCTCCCTTTCCTTGCCTTCTCGATCTGTTTATAGAAACGAGGCGTGTTACGTAGACTTGGCTGTGTGCTTGTTGAGTTATATATAGTATGTACCGAGGCGCTGCTGATGATTATGACGTGTGCCCACTGCAGCACTTGCGCCAGCGCAGAGATTAAGATTATGTACTTCGAGCTCGTAATGGGATAATTCGCTTAGTGGCTGTAAACGCGTTTGGCGCGGGTAATCGATGTTAAAAGTAAATACTCGATCGATTTTAATTTCATTCTCACTCGTCCGTCGATTATGAAGCAATATTTTTATCCATTTTTCTTTTTTTTCAAGCTATATGAAGCCAAAATCCACTTTCTAGAAATTATTGCTTTTCTAGGATATTTACGAAGCTGGTATTTTCATATGTATTTTTTTCTTTTGCAGAAAGAACGTCTCTGCATGGGGAAATAATGTCACTGCTGCTGAGACGGTCAATATTGCCGTTGTTCTTACTACTGCTGCGACTTGATTCTAACGGTGAGTGTTTTGTTACAAACTGTATGATTATTCTCTCGTTATTATTACGACATAAAGGTCGATAGGTGCCAAAAACGTGACGATGATGACACGTGCGCGGTCGTGTGATTGCGGCTATCGCTCTAAACACCCCCCCTAGTCGTTAGCATACTGCGGACAATATCATCGTCATCCTATGGTCATCACAATGACGATATAATGTAAACTATAATGTCATTATGTGTGTATCTGCGTCTGCATTCAAAAGCGATCCAACGACGATTTGTCAAATACAACAATTACTCGATTTTCGTTCCTTTTAAGCCCTCGAAACGGAACAATTAAAACTTTACCATTGGTTGTGCGAACACTCTTTTTCAGTCCCTCATTTTTCCTTTTGATATTTCAACGCGCCAAAGGTACAGTGCGAAAACAAGAAAATCGTTGCCCGAGGACTCGCGAATCAGCGGTAAATGCATCTCCAATGGGAAGAGGAGTCGAAGTTACAAATGCAGCCAGAGAAAACTTCTGACGTCTGAAAAGTAAATGATCTCCCGGAAATTGAGTAAGTCTTTGAAATTTTCTCGAGATACCAATTTTCGCATTTCTTTTTCTTTTTCCGCGAATTCATTCACACGCAGTCAACAAACTGACATCGTATGAGCGCTATATCGCATAAAGCAAGGTAACGAGTGCTCAATGTAAACACGACACCTTTTTTCGTCGTACCACCATATCGATTATTCCAAAAAAATTTTGCCCTCGGTGTATGTCATTTACGTTAAGTAAGAATCTTGCCCACTGGTGCCAGAAGAGTGTAATAACTATGTGTCTGCTATTGTTGTTTCGCGCCAGGGAGCAAGTCTTAATGCGATTTCCGTTGTGCGCGCGTTGCAAGCTCTCGAGCTTTCACCGGCTGCCGAGTGGATAGGCGAATGAAGAGAGAGAAACAGAAAGGGGATAAGAGATTTGCTCGAAAATATATCTATGTATAATACGAGCACACATTTGCAGCCATCCTCACACGTGTATTCGTAAAATTGAATTTAGAATATTTGCATTTTGAATGCTTATCCTTTGGATGTGCCGAATGTACGGAGTATACGCTTCCGTTCTAAATAGATAAAACAATGTGTTCGGTATCGATTTAATTTCATCCGTCTACGTACCAGTATGCGTTCGTAATAAAAATGTTTTTATTTTACACTCTCTGATTTGCTTTATTTTTGGCAAAGATAATTGCCGAAGCCAGAGCAGTACGAAAAAGAGGGCGTTATAGGGTAAAAATTAGCAAAATTTTAATAATCATTATTGGAGAAAAAAAAGTTCTCTCGAACTGCAGAAACGCGGAGCGGTAATGAAAATTAATTTCTCACTACATTTGCCCACAAAGTGCGAAGTTTTACCGAAACCTTCTGCAGTGCACGGGCGCGTTAATGCGTACCAATTGTCTCGCTATATTCTCCACTCTTCGCGTCGTAATTTTGTCGCCGCGCGCGCGCAATCCGGTCGCCGTGAAAACTTTGCTCTATATACTTCACATACCTTATATCCTCACGCATACATTTTTAATTAAAAAAAAAAAAAAATGAAAGGAAGGAAGGGAAATAAAAAGTGATGACCCAGCTGTGCTAATAACATACTGCTTTTGCCCGCAAAATTCCCCGGGCGATGACCGTGAAAATAACAATAATCGCTGCGTGCAAACTCTACATATATCTAATGCACACTCGCTCGGGTCCTTTTAATTTTCTCTTTGGCCAGAATTATTTTTTCATACTCCTCTGAAAATGCTGGTGAACGTTGAATGCGTGCGACAAAGTGTGGCTTTATGTGTATTGTTTCTACTCTTGTACCCTCTTTTTTCCTTCTCGACGAAACGTGAAAGCTATATCTGCTTGATTTATATGCATTGCTAAATTTCCCGAAAAATATAAATATACGTTCATGTATACGTTCGAAGGTAAACCACCGACAACCACACACTGTGCCACACAGCAGTGAAGTAAATAAAAATTGTGTACTTGAAAAAGGTCCGGGAGAGAGAAAGAGGAAGGCAACGTTCCGGGCTCATGCCATATTTTTCAATCCTGATAATTTAGAACGTCACGCTGTTAGAGTATATCTAATTTCATTTGGCATATAATACCGTGTGCTATTTTACCTCTCAATCTCTTTTCATCTCTCTATGAAGCCAATTTTCAGAGAAAATTTCATTTATTTATTTGAATTCTGCGCTGTAGGGTAAAGTGAATAATATAATATAGCCTCGTATACGTAAATGCATAATCAATTGCCAGAAACGAGACGAATACGGGCATAGTAACTGTTGTTTGCGAATTATATTCACGAGAAAATTCAGTATTTAAATTGGATGGAAAAAGCAATTGCTCATTACAAGCTTTATGTGCGCAATTCAGCAGAAAAGTCACGGTAGCGTATATAAGTAAAAATTTCAAATAAGCGAGCAATTCAACGTGGAGATTTGCACTGAAAGCAAGTGTAAAGTTTTTTTACATGCAAACGTGCATGGCAAGTTAGAAAAGACCAAAATAGATAATAGCGTTAAAATAGTGATACATTGTATAATAATATAAGCGCGCTCACGGCGAGGCAACCATACAGGTCACTTCCTCTATTTCTTGCCCCTTTTTCTACGTGTAAACGCGTGAAAAGTATAAATATCCTCTTATCAAAGGAATTCTTTTCACAACGCCAACTCATCCTCCTCTATATCTAACTCGACCTCTTGACAACGATAAACGTCGTTACCGGTGTAGCTCGTTTCAATGAGAGACGAGGCAGCTCAACGGTAGCTCAGCAACGAAAAAAAAATAGCAGAAAATAAAAAAAAAATATTACGTAAGTATATATAACAAAACACACATACACATCCATGCGTACGAGCTATGTGATAAATATGCCCGTCGAAAGCAGAGCAAAGCGATATAGTGATAATGTATATAGGATATAGAGCTTTTCTTCTTCGTGTAGGAAACGCAAAAAATGTGCGAATGAAAAAATTCCACTTCTTGTGTCTTGATGCGTACGTAACAGTGACGACAGCTATTAAGTGCGCAAGTAGGACAAAAAAGGAAGAGAAATGTCGTACACCAACTGATTTAGAAATAGGATGTTGTGAAAAATCAACTGTTAAGATTAGGGTGTCGTGACATAATGATGAAATTTCAAATGAAAATTACTGTAAATAATAAATATTTTATGCAAAAAGCATAAAAAAGTATAATTGATATCATTTTGCAAATATTTTTTATTAGAGTGAGAAGAAAACCTTTTGACTCAAATTAAATTTCAATTTTGAATTATCGAAATCTTGATTGCTAACTAAGTTCTGCTGCATGCTCAATTAGTCGATATAGCTTTCGAGGATATGAAATTGCTGATAAATGAAATGTTTAAAAAGCTGCGATATTTCTATACTAATACATAACCCTATAAAACTGGCCTGCAAAAATGTGCAGTTTTGAGTTGAAAACTCATACGGCTGGCTCAGGAATTCGATATTGAGCGAGTTGAATTTCAGCGCTAGACCATATCGAGTTCTTATGTACAAGAGAATTTAGAGCACTGCACAAAATACGTATGAAAGATAGTAAATGCGTGACGTATATTTCTCTTGATTAATGCTTTACTCATGACATATTATCAGGATTTTTCAAACTTTTCACATTCACTGTCTTAATAATAAAATCAAAATGGAAAGCTGAGCTTTGGTATTTTTATTAATATAATAAAAGTCCAACCTGTTTTGAATAAAAAAGCTCTAACCAAAAGCCATGGTCAAAAATTAAATTTTTTTTATAAAAACAACAGCAATAAAAGAACGCATACATAAATCGTAAATCCAAGCTAGCATAATCGACGGATTTTTAAAAGGTAAAAAAAATCTCATCGGACCTTGAATTTTTACATTAATTAAAAAATAACGCGTTGGAAAAGAGGTCTAACAGTAGGGCCTCTTATCCCGAAAGAATTGTATTTTTGTTCTTTAGGTCAGTTAAAATATTTTAAGCACTGAAGTTAATTTTAATTATTACGGATTTAGATTACTTTACAGGATTATAAAATTCAGAGTTGTAGTGTACAGCAGAACGTATGATTATTTTAGAATGTGATTTAAATATGAAATTAATTTTTATTTAATATTAACATTGCGATAAATTTAATAATAAATTAAAACATTAAATTAAAAAAAATATTTTAAAATATCTATATACATTTATGGTAAAGTTTTAAAAGTACATATTAGTTTAACATATTATGAATCAATCATTTGCCTTTGCATTTACAGGGTTCAAATAGCACTCAGAAATACTCGTTTTGAGCTTTAAAGCTACCTCAAAACTATGTCTAAAGTATTTTCACACCTACTAAACACTCTCTCCAGGAGTTTACCGATATCTATTGATTTTAAAACTGACGATACTTAACTTGCTTTATTTAACGTTTACTTATATTTCTAATCGAAGAATCGCTCGTGGTATTTGCAAAACATTTTTGTTGGCCAACCCAGTAAACCTCAATCTCTACTGCACTGAACACTCTTCAGAAACGTTGCAATCACCTGGTCAACGTAGCCAGCTACGTTTTGCACTCCGGATGATCGACCATTTATTTTATTCAGCTTTTTATCATCAGCATCATTATCATCATCATCATTATCATCATTATTATCATTATCATCATCATCATCATCATCGTCATCATCATCATCATCTTCATCATCAACATCATCATCATCATCATCATTATTATTATAATTATAACTTTTAATTTATTAGACCGAAAATGAATCTTCAATCTCTTATTAATACAAATACTTCGTATTTAAACCAGTAATGCTAATTCCTATCATGACATTATCGCTGTTAGTAAAATAAAGATTTTATGCTCAAATCTATATCGGAACGATGTAATGTTTCCTTTCAAAAATGTGAGAATTCAATTATTTCTTATTTTTTTCAAATTTTCCTTATTGCATAATATTTTTTAATTTTTAGAATGATACATTTAAAGTAATGAACTTTTATTATTACTATTGATTGACATTATTATTCAAGTACGAAAAAATGGATTAATACGGCATAAATTCAAAATAAACGTCAAACATCAAGTCACTATTACACACCAGAAATGTGAATTGTAACTTTTATCATATTTTGTTTAAAATAGCAACATTATGATGTGTTCATACAACTTCAAAAGGAAATACTCATAACTTTGTGAAAGCGTAATATATAAATCCATTAACTCTGTTGAAAAATGATCGTTAACGTAAACACAGCAATGTATATACCTTTAATTTATTAACTTTACATCTGGAATTAGTCATATTTAAATGTGTAAGCAGTCGTTTTCAGTAACGGTAATGTAATTGACGTCGTTCAATAGCGATACCTTGAAATTGGCGGAGTGAGAAATATTCGCACTGGATATTAAATTCGTAGATCGCGTGATCGGAAAATGACGAATTTCAGCGAGCCAACTTTTCACTATGCCAGGGCAAATTAGAACTCTTTTTTTTTCATTTAAACTTCATGCATAGAGTTTTTTAATACTCGTTCTTTTCTTGAAAAATTATTCGCAAAACCATTGTTTCATACACGCACTCTACACATATATATCTGCGAAATAATCACTCACGCTGAAATGAACAATGGACTGTTGCGTATTATACAAAGTTGAGTTAAAAAAAAGTATCTGCGCGAAAAAATCTTTCCATGCTATACATTAAAACAAAAACATATGCCAGTTGATAAAACATTTATTTTTTATGTGCTCACAAAAATTTTCCTGCTTTTCAAAGACCTCGTTAGTAGAGTGTGGTATTATGGCAATTTTTCTAAGAGTAAATTGTAAATGTAGAGCAAATGTAAACACACTCGCATGAAATATGCTACATGCTCGTTACTCTTAAGATCATGCGGGGTGAAAAATAATTCTCTGACGTGGATGAGCTTATTATTACGGCAACAGTAACGCGAGATAAACTGATAAATGAGGTATATAAATACAGAGTAAAAAGCCGCGATGGTTCGGATGTCAAGGAAAAAAAATCTATTAAAGGCTCCTTTTTTCAATTAGATGCAAAAAATTGGCCCGAAAAAATGTTTTATAAATGTGAAAGTGCTCATAGGTGCTGGTTCCGTTCAAGCAGGCGCAGGATCAAATAATTCTTTGAGCGTAAAAGCGAATGGAGCTTACAATTTAAGAACACAATGAGTATAAGCGTTATTTTTCCTTTAGCGCAAAAAAGTAAACGTTTGACAAAAAACGTTGTATTGTCCGAAATGGCTTGCTTCGTACTTGCGCTGGACAATTTTTTGTTACAGTTGGCAGCAGCCGCCAGCGGCCGCAATCAGAAAAACCAATATTAACCTATCTCGAAAAAGCTCTCCAAGAATAATCCAATAAAAATGCCCCTCGCACGAAGCACCGCGTGTTGGAAATTTAAACTCCACGCATGTCCTAATTACAAAGCTACGAATGCTTTGACATCTCAAGGCTGGGAGGTATGACATTTACACGCGTGAAAATATCAGGTTCAAAAAGAAAACTAAAGAGATCTAGAGGCTAAATTATGAACTTATCCTTCGATAGTATAAAGGGCTGAAATTTAAAGGCTAGCCAATGCATGTTCAAGTAGGTCTACCGCAACATTTTGTTTGTCTACTCTCTATCTCTAGCTTTCTTTCTCTTTTAAAGTAAGCTAAATTCATTTTACCTAAGGTCCAGCTAAAGAGAAAAAGAGTAAAAGCTTAAGGTACGTGCCGCATCGTGCGCTTGACTTTATTTCCTCGAATAATGTTTACTTCTCTCTCTTTCTCTCTCTCACTCGCTCTTTTTTAGTGTCTTTTTATTTTGTGGCGAGTGCTAGGCTTGCATTCATTATGTGTAATATGTGTCTCTTATTCCCGAGCTAATCTCCTCTACGCGAAGCATTAAAAGGTCTAAAGTCGCAATTATAGAGATTATGAATTTCAGCTGTCTTCTGTGCCCAGCGAATATGCATTACATGCTTTCAACGATATGGAACATCGCAAATTTTTCGACCCATTTATAAAAGTTTCTGCTTACAAAGCAAGTTGTAAGAAAATGTTATAGAACATTACAAATCAGTTTTTCTAAATTTGATGAAGGGAATATTTTTATAATGTATTAATATTCTGACATAATCGACGTTTCACATATCACATTTAATGACAAATCCGCTTTAAAATACTTCTAAAATTAGCTTCTTCAGTTTATAAGATATAATTGCAATAGCTAGTTACAAAGGTACACGCGCAAAGAATTATCATTTAATTTGGATGCTTTTGCTACGAATCCGAGTTTACTTGTGAAGCTAGTGCTGTTGACTTCCATTTTACTCGCGCAGATATTTGTGAGGTACTCTTAACTACTTAGAACACCAAAATTTACCATTGAAAAATGTTTGCTCCATAATGAAGCTTAACTTCTGTGATTTTAAGTCAATTTTTTTGCAATGTTCAAGCAATTACTTTTCTCATTCGCACCTCTATTCCATTTAGTAAACATAAGCACAATTGACCACCAAGAGATGAAGATCCATTGCTTTAATATGATTACTCTTTGTATGTTATACATTAACAAAATTTATGGTGCTCAACAAATCTTCTGACTGGCACCTAGAACTCACAACGGAAAAAACAATCCACTAATATGAAGTGAATAAAATTATAGTTTCATTTCACTCTTAAATTAGAAATTTATTAACGGTCAGTAAGAAACCATGACGACTTTTTGTTTTACAAAACCGTTTTAATTTATTACTCAGATGAAAAAACTATAAAAAATTTAAAAAATATCATTGGAAAAAAAATTTTAAAAATATATTAGCTGGCATAAATAAAATAAATATATGTATGATATAAGCTGGATTGAGTTCACTGGGTATACGCGAGTAGACTATAGGTACACGGCTGATTTTTTTAAACCGAATCGATGCGTCGTACCCGCTTTTTTTTCTTTCACCGTAGAGTAGAATGTGCTGTCGTCCGTGCATGGGTAGCTTTGTAATTTGTACAAAATCAGAATGCACCCCCTGCTACAACGAACGATGTGGCTAACGAAGCCGAATAATCGCACACGAGATTTCGCGTGGAATAATGGCGACTGTACAAATCGATGCGAATATCTATATATATAATGCGCGTTTATACGTCTGGCTGACGTGAAACGGCTGCGTAAAGTCGTCTTTTCTACATCGACGAAAAATGACGTGTAATTACTAAAAAAAAAAAAAAAAAACAATATTACATTTTCAATCTAATAATAATATCGGAATATTTTAACCTTGTAACGATCTATTGAGTTGTTTAACTCTTTTTGAATGTTCCCCGTTAGCTAGTTTCCGAAATAAATCGCGACTTCGAAACGTTCCCAAGTTTCAGAAGTGTCTCAACGTCAATTTAGCTAATTGATTTACTTGTGTATAAATGCATCCTGATCATTATATTGCAAACAAGCTAATTGATTGAAGCCGTAATTGAAATATACATACATCAATTTAACACATCGATTGAAAATTCCAATGACCGATAATTTCCTATCAAATAATTTCCATCCAAAAATTGTAAACTATGCCTTGGCCTGTACCATTATGAAGATCAACCGAATCCTCTCTACTGTCTCTGGCCTTTTTTTACCCGTGACTGCCGGTGGAGCGCAAAAAACTCTTAAGCTATACGATTTCGAGTGTGCACGTGACTAAAGGGTGGGGGTAACGACTGTAATTTTTTTTTACTCTGCCGCTGGATAGAGTGAGCTGGAGGTAGAAGGTAAAATCCTCTGGTACGATTACATCGTGTCACCAATCACTTTTTACCACGAGCTTATGTGATTTTCGCTTTCCGAATGACTTGATATAGCTGATTCGGCTATTTTTTACCAATCCTCAAATGATATGGTAAAAAAATTATGTCTCTTCGTTACAATCATTCATTAAAGCAATTTTTTCTTACGGAGAATCTCTGAAATACTAAAATGTCAAGTTATTCGAGAAAATATGGCTGAGAGAAGAGACGCTTCACATCCCTGAGAATTTACAATTTAAATATTCAAACGAGTTGGCGCGCTAAGTTCCCCTTTGCACTCGAGGTAATTCATGACAGCGATATGTAATGTTGAACTTGTAATATGACAATATTCATTAGCTCACGTAAGCTCGTCGAGCTCTCGTACGATAAGACGACATTGATTTACTCATGACCTTTGCGCGATGATATTGCAGAGAAATCGGCCACGAGCGTACTGGGCAGTGCCGAGATGGCCGGGATCAATGCGAACACACTGGATCGGACGCTCAAGCCACTCGACGTCGATCTGCCACCCACTCTACCCATGAACTTCGGCACTGATAATTCTACGGTGGTGCACGCGCAATTGGGATCGATAGCCCATTTGCCCTGTGTCATTCATAATATCGGCGACGGTGTGGTGAGTATCCCAGCTATCCTCTGTATAATATTGAATAATGCGCGCGAAGCAGCAAAAATACATTTATGAGCGATAACCCGAGCGATAAACACGAGGCTGCCATTAAATTATCTCTAATCTGCCTTTAATTCTCTCCTCCGAAATACACACGTGGATTGCGGGGGCTTGCGTTGAAAATTTTTATTTAAAGCCACTGACCTCTCGAGCCCCTAGCGAGCATTTTGCCTCTCGGCCGAGCTCGGGCCAATCCTCTTTGTTTCGTGTCGCGCGATCGTACTCGCATCGATTATTAATGCTCATCGGAGAATAATAAAAATGTAAAAGACCACGTAAAACCTTTTGCCTCCTTTTTTTCAGTACCATAAATTACAAATTTATCAATAAACGAGACAGACACGCTTATTTGCATAGGTAAAAGTTGAATAATCTATACGGATGACTGGCAGATATGCATTTAATCGCGCATCGACGAGCAAACAAACCATCATCATCGAGGCAAACGCGAGTCAGAAAAAAAGTGTCAGAGAGATAGAAAAAGGCCGAAGCAACAAGAATAAACCGAAATGACCGCAGCGCGAGCCACACACACTATACACAAATTAAAAAGCCGTCAATCATTCGCAAGCTTACCACTGCTGCTGCTGCTGCTGCTGCTGCTGCTACAGACGCGCCTGTGTTTGTGTGAATGTGGCGGATATATACATGCAACAGGATCTCGCACGCCCGATGACAATTGCGCGTGATGTGCTGCTTCAAACAATGACAGTACACGTGCACACACTTATATGTATGTAGGCATCGTTTCAGCGGCATCTAGAACATACACGCATACACTCGCTAGGCGTGAACAGCTGTAAAATTAACCTACGTGCTCGAACAAAACGCGCATCTATTTATGCCAAGCGGTTCTAATACAAAAAAAAATCCTGCGAATGCGATAATGTAGATCCAATTACGATGCAGCCGTAGGTAGCAGGAAAAGTTATTGTAGTAGCTGTAAAAAAGGCGCAAAAGGTCGGGGAGCAGGGAACCGCTCGAAGGTCATTATAAGAAGATATAGGAGGCTTTAACAAGCCTACACGCGCGCGAGTATTGTAAAAGCCAACGAGCAGTGTTTAAAAGGAACGATAAATTATTTCGAGAGGCTTTTCTTTTATGCTTTCTCGCTGCGCTGCACGGGGGAGCCTTTCCGAAGAAACACTATATTATTCGTCGGAGTTTTACGTGTGCGTGGACCGAGCCTATAATGAGCGAGTTTGATTCCGGCGCGCGTTCTGCAACCGACCCTTTGTTTCCTAGCAAGCAACCAGAATGATGACGAAATGATTGTAAGCTCGGCGCAGTTTGATCTTTAGCTTCTTTTTTTTTTCTTGTTTAAAGTGCGCGCAAACTTTTCAACCCCGTTCCTTTTTTTACGATCCCAAGCAAAGTTCGCCGATGCCTTCGGGATCATTATACGCGCGTAAAGACTAACGATACACCAGCCACGTGTGCGTCTGCGTGCATTTGGGTTTAATTTAAGAGTTGAAAATTTACGAGTTTCAAAAATGCCGCTCTCCTATATTTATATCCAAGCCCCGTTCGATTACTATCCCAGACTGAGAAAGATCTGCTGGATTTATGGATGTAACAGAAAGAATTTTTTATCTTTTCACAGCAACTCGAACGAAATTACTTTGAATCCATCGAAATGACTTACATCATAAAATAACAATTTTAAGAACAAAAACACATCATCTTTGGGAGAAAAACATGCCATTTTTTCCGAAATACTATCAATTTATGAGTCTCGAGTCGGCAACGCATATTCATGCTTTGTATTAATAGCTCCAAAATCACACGCGCGCCTGGCGCGGGGCAAAAAAAGTATGTAACGACTCGAAATCATGTGGAAAAGAAAAAAGAGCCGCACAGCGATATCTGTATTGTATCACGTACGCTCGTAAATCTCGGCTTCCTTTCTCTTCGTTCATGCCGTTGTAACTGTTGCACTTGCGAACTTTTGCTGATTTTACTGTTATAGGTTTTATCGTAGCTGCACCTGTTTAGCTGCACGAGACGAAATTTTGGTATCTTGCATCTGCGAGAGCAACTTTCGGGGGCTGGGGGAAGAAAAAAAAATTGTTGGATCGAAAACGATATGACGCATAGGGTATGAAATATCCGGCGCAGAACTTCTCGGGCAAAGTTTTTGTGGATATTTCTCGTATATCAGTGCGTAACAATGTAATTTCGAAAATGGAATTATTTCAACTCATTACCTATCTGATATATACCGAAGGGCAAAAAGTTGAAAAATTTGCCCGAGTTTCGTGATAAATTTGGGCGGACGAAAAGCAGCGAGACGTGCCTTGGCAGTGCCGAATAGCCGCCGCGTACTGCGCTCATCAAACATTAATCCCTTTTTCTGAAATGCTTCGCTTTTCTTCCTTTACCATTCATCTGCCTCTTCTCTCGTTCTCTCTCTCTCTCTCTCTCTCTCTCAATCTCTCTCTTTATTTTCTTTGCATGCTGAGCTTTCGCCTCGAGTTTCCGCATCATGTTTTCATCATGAGAGCCAGGCAGACAAACTAATACACAAACCAAGTGAAAAGGGACTGAAAACTCTCCACTTGCTCGACTAAAGTATATATACATGTATAGATGTACGTCGCTTTCTCTCTCTCTCTCTCTCTCACTTCCTCAAAAGCTTACACATACGCGTACGTTCACGCCCTTTGGCACGAGAACTGACTTTTCGACCGCAATTTTTCCCCTTCCTTACTCCAGGCAATGGGAATTAAAAGCTTCGAAGGCACACTTGTGCAAGGTCTTTCACTGCAGCAGCACTTGCTGGAAGAGCAAAAAAAAAAAAAAGACAAACAGACACGTTGGCTACACGCTCGCCACCCGCATAGAATAGAAAGCGGATTGAGGAAAAGATAGATCGACGAGTCTCGACAGTGAAATGAGTCGGAAGTGAACATTGAAAAGGAAAAAATTATGCTCTACAAAAGTTTGCCTCCTACAAAGGTGTATCACAACGAAATAATAATAGTAATAAGGACACCGTGACAATAATAAAGCGCGCACCGACTGCACTGCGCCGATAAGAATTAAAAAAGAAGGTTAAGCGCCCGAGAAACGGACTCTGGGTGTAGTGACCTTACACGCACTCTCTAACGCAACACTAGCCTATATAAAATGCAAAAAGGGGCGCAGAGACAAACTTAATTTTTTACCGTCTAGCCCAAGTCTTGTATCACTCTCTTACGCTTTCTCTGTACATCAAAAGCTCGTATAATTTAAAGCGCCTTTTTGTTGTCGCGCGCTTCATTGGATTAGTTACTATTTTTTATGTCGCCCAAAAAAAAGTATCCGATCGTAGAATGATGGTAATTATTCAAAAAGCCCTTATACTTTATTGCTCAAGAGCCAAACCAACAAAGTCAAAGCGACTGCTTGAGAAATTTATTTAGAATTTCTTCGCTAAGAACTTGATGAAGAAGATTTATTCGAGAATTACACGAAGCAGCTAGTTTAACTTCGAAATAATGAACAATGACGCGAGATTTTGTAAAACTCGAGAAATTTTGGAGATTTGGAAATTTTAAAATTTGTCTTAAACTTTCTGAACTCGAAGAAATGGTGTTTTCCTTTCGCTCCACGGTGTATAGCCACAGGCTCTGCTTGTATATGCGCCATAGCCGACTATTAGAGCTTTTGATGTACTACGAAAATTTTTTAATGCTCTGCTTGCAAAGTTTAAATGAATGAACTTTTTTATCTTAGCTTTTTCTCCGCAAGTTTAGAGGGAGATGTGTTCTCGGTCTCGGTAGTGGATTTATTAGTCCGCATACGGCAAAAAACTTGATAACGATATTCCACAAATTGTATCAAGTGTATTTTCAACGTTGCTCTACGGTCGAGACCGCACACGAACATCGGTTGGTCCAATAGATGGTTTTGGTCACTGGAAATTTTTCATTCACGTAAAATTGCATTAGAATAATTAAATACAAAATTGGAATAATTCTCTTTACAGCTACGATCGAATAAAAAGAGTCAAATAAATGAAAGAACGTACATGTTGGAGGGTAACTGAGCAAGATGAATAAATACGAGCGGGATCGGGGCCGGGGCTATATCCGACGGCGTACACTGCGTATACGAGGTTCGTCGGTGCGTATATGTACGTACAACAGTCATAGGTAGGAAAACACAGGGGAAACTACGGCTTGAAATTTCGTTGGTGCGTCGAGTCGAGGAGGATGCGTTGCCGATAGCGCGTCACTGATATGGAAAGTAGCGCGCGGGAGGCAAGTGCGAAAGAGATAACGGGCTTTCTCATCCGTTTCTACTACTTCCCCTTCTAACGCCGTTACGCACATACATGTACAACGCCCCGAGCCGGCGCACGTGCATGTACACGCGCGTGTGCTCGTCTGTTTGCGTGTGTGCGAGCGAACTGGCAAGTTTCGAGGCAAAGAGATTTGGTTACAAACTTGCATTATAACGACTGCGCGTTGCTACTTCTGCTGCCGCCGCTGCTGTTGTTGTTGCAGTTGTTGGCGTTGTTGCGCGTTCGTGATATTGTCAACGTTGGATAAATAGAAGATGACGTTGTCCGCCGCAGTTTTGCGGCTACATATAATAACACATAAGCCTGCGGAGTGGCGTTTGATCGTCGGCTCTTTGTTGCGATCTATAAGCTGTCTTTTTGGACTTGCATGATAGTTGTTAACTATTCCGATCCTTCGCCGTTTTTAATGCTACGCGATGAAAATTCGTCGCGAACAAACTGATTTCGAAAGCTCCACGTCGACGAAATTATTTACCGAATTTCGCGCGCGGCTTACATATCTGCTGACGATGCGTCGAGACTCGAGGGTTATATCACGCGTGCAATGACCGTCCCTATATATAATTACGCGAGAAATCAGCTGACAGCAGCGATGCCATACGCGCGATTATTAAAAGCTCGTCGTCTCTCGTTCGATGATACTTACCGTTAACGCGCC